GGTCTCGCGCTGTCACCCAGGCTGGAGTGCAGTGTTGCCATCACAGCTCACGCAGCCTCCAGCTCCTGGGCTCCAGCGATCCTCCTGCCTCGACCTCCCAGGGTGCTGGGATTACAGGTGTGAGCCACTGCGCCTGGCCAAGAGTAGTTTTAGATTTACAGAAAGTTACAAATACAGAAAGTCCCCATAGGCATGGGTTTCCCGTTGCTCTCATCTCGCACGGGGTGTGGTATGTGCACAATCGATGAAGCAGCATCTACACGGTGTATTAACTGAGGCCCACACTTGATTCGGGCTTCCTCAGTTTCCCCCCGTGCTCTATGCTTTCCCGGGGTCCATCCAGGACCCCACAGGACACTCAGTCATCCCATCTCCTCAGGCCCCTCTGGGCTCTGCCACAAGCTCCCGGAGGAGGAAACGCAGGGAGAACGGACAGGAGGGTACAGGCTGGCCCTGTCCATCCATCAGGCCAGGCAGGGAGAGCAGTGCACAGCCTTGCCACTGGGACCTCAGCGTGCGGTCTCGGCCCCAGTCACCCACTAAAGCACACGTCGCCTCCTTATCCCAGGCCGGGATGTCAAGAGGACCCCACTCACTGGTGGTGACGTGGCCCTGGGGGACACGCAGTGGGCAGGACTGAGACAGGCTGGGGTGTGTCCACCCCATCCCACCAGCCCTCCTAGAGGACCACGGGTCTGGCCACCCCCAGACATGAGGGGTGTCTGGGAGCTCGGGACCCCGGGAGGGGCGGCAGGGCCAGGTGCACAGAGGCTGGGATGTCCCGTCGCGGGCGCCTGCTCTGTCCAGCGAGATGGCCGGGGCCTCCTCCACAGGCAGGAGGGCAGCAGGGGCCGCCCCGCTCCTGCTCCCCGGGCGGTACTCACTACTTGGCGGAGTCCGAGAGCTGGTACTCCCGCCGCCGGTCGTAGCACTCCTGGATGCCGGGGTCGTTCCACAGGGTCTTGATGGCGTTGACGTACTGGTGCTCAAACGTCGTCACCTTCTCCACGTCCACCTCCCGGATCAGGAGTGCGTTGGCCTGCGGGGGTGGGAGGAGGAGGCCACGAGCTCGCCGGGGGCCTGGCCAGGCAGGGCTGCCCCCCGCGTGCCCAGAGCCACGGAAATGTCACGCCGGGCCTGCGGGCGGGTCTCAGCCTGAGCGGGCATTGGCCCACTGCGCGGTTGGAGTCGCTGGTGCCCGCCCGGAGTGAATGTGTGTTATAAAGGCCAAGGCCGACTGCTAGGGACGGTTCCTCCAGACAAGGTGGCATCACAGCCCAGGTTTGCACACGAGGCCGGGATACTGAGGCCCAGCCGCCATCTGCCCCGTCACAAAGGAGGAAGCAGGACCACGCAGACAGGCGCACACACCACTCAGGGGCAGACACTGGGGAGATGGCTGGTTCCTCCTCCGCTCACCACGTGCCCGTCCTCAGGGCGCTCAGGCTGACACAGCCGGATGCAGCTCGGCTGGGGATCGGAGAGGGGACAAGGGAGTCCTGGCCTGGCTCTTCCGGCCTCCCAGGCCACGGAGACCTCAACCATCCCTCGTGAGCACTGCTCTCGCCCCAACGCCCCTCGCCCCCAGTCTAGGCAGGGACAGGCACCTGGGGGACTCGTACACAAGATGCCGTTCCCATAAAATCCCACGGACTGGGTACTTCCAGACCAGCCTTACGGGCCACAGGGACTGTCTCAACCACACAGCCGTACCTTGCAGCACTAGCCATGGACAACGTGCCAACAAGTGGGCACGTGCCAGCGAAACTTCACTGAGGTTTGCAGACCCCAGTTCCAGACCCTGATGACATCTGGGGCCAAACAGGAACCTGGACTCCCCGAGAGGTCACAGCAGGAGAGCAGGGCGGGCAGCAAGCCAGGGCCCAGCGGGCAAGAGGCCACACGGCCCACGCACGCCACCTTGCGCCCAGGACGGCCGGGGCCCCAGCTCAACGCCAGGCCTGGTGGGGCTGAGGATCGGGCTGGGGTGAGGGTGGGAGGCCCCAACCAGAGACATGTCAGAATCCGGCTGACTGACCTCGAGCCCCAAAGGAAACAGATCAATGTGAACCATGTTTGGATAAATACAGAGTCCCAGGCAAAATCTCCGGGGTCGAGAGTTATAAGCCCCTGAAAACAGATCTCATAAAGCTAAGCGCACAGTCCCTCAGCAGCAAGGACCGAGGGAGGCCACGCAGGTGCTGGTGGGGCACGGCTGGCACATCTCCAAAGGGCAGAGCCCAGCAACCCCACTCCCAGGTGCACCCGAGGGAAATGGACAGACGTCCACACGGACACGTGTGCGAACAGTCACAGCAGCTCTGCTCCCAGCAGCCAGAAAGTGGCATCAACCCAGCGTCCACCAGCAGGAGAGTGGACACGCACAACCTGGACCTTCCACACTGGAGCATCACTCAGCCACGGAAAGGGACGAGGCTCTGACACAGGCCACAGCGTGGAGGGACCTTGAGGACATTGTGCTCAGTGAGAGACGCCAGACACAGAAGGACACAGTGTGAGACTCCATTTATAGGAAACGTCCAGAACAGGCAGATCCACAAAGACAGATGTGGTTGTCAGGGGCTGGGGAATGGCTGCTGATGGGGACAGGGCTTCTTTTTGGGGTGATGGAATGTTCTAGAATTAGTGGTGATGGCTGCACAACCGTGAGTACATCAAAACCCTGTGAATCACGAACTTTAAAAGGGGAACTGCATGGAATGAACGATACCTCGGTAAGGTGTCATTAGAAACACAGGAGGGGAAGCGCCAACCCGTGGTCACCGTGAGGGCCGATGTGGGGTACGCAGTGCCTGGGGGCTGCGGAGGGGACACGGGAGCTCACTCCCGAGGGTGGGCCTCAGCTTGCCCCGCTGCAGAATGGGGACGCCCACAGCTGGGGGAGGGAATCGCAGACGCCACCCGGCGCCGGAGGAGGCGGCGGCTGCCTCCAGGCGCACGACGGGAGCGGACGCGGCTCACCTTGTTCTGCTCGTACTTGTACAGGATCTTCAGCGTCTCCATGGCGCGGATCATGGCCTGCATGGCGGTGAAGATGTTCTGGTAGACCAGCTTGGTGAAGCCCCGCTTGTCCTCCTCCGAGTAGCCGGCGCCGTGGATGATGCGCATCTGCTTGATGAAGGTGCTCTTGCCGCTCTCGCCCGTGCCTGGGGGGTGGGGGGCGCAGTGAGGGCGCAGCCAGGAGCCTCGGAACCCTCCCCAGGGCCCCAGAGCACTGCCACGCCGCCCAGGGGGCCTGCCGCTGTCCCTATCCTGCACACGCTCTCCCGACACGGACCCTAGCCCCACGGGGCCCTTCCTACCTGAGCTCCGTTGGTCCCGAGAAGTTTTCCTGGGGCCCAAGAGTTTGGTGTTTACATCAGAGCCCAGGCGGTGCCACTGCTCGGAACGTGCAGCCCCGCCTAATGCTACACCCCTTTGCCACAAACGCCCCAGGAGGGCCAGGGCCTGAGCAGGCAGTGGGCACTTAGATGCGCCCTCCTAGGACGAATGCACCAGGTCCCCACCCCTCCCGCTCCCGAGCCCTGCCCTGTGGCCCACAGCCACACCAGCCCCCGCCGCTGGCACCACGTGGCTCTCCCCCCTCCATCCTGCTGCTGTGGCCTGGGGTCACCCAGGACCACTGCGCACGCCACAGGTGGCCCGGAGCACGTCCCTGAACCCCCCTGCATCTCCGTTTCTCCCTGCACAAGCGAGAGGGTGACACAGCTGCCTCAGGGGCTTCCCTGTGTCCGTTGTCATTTTGCTAACGCCACCACCCCTCTCAGAGACGGAAGCTCTTGCTGCCTCAGAACAGAAGGGTGAGCAAGTCAGGCTGGAGAAACCACCAATATATCCCCAACGCGTCCCCAAGTCTCTAATGCTCCTCCCTTCCTGATCGCCCCCCCTTGAGCCAGGGCTGGACTGAGTGACCTGCTTCCAGTGAATAGAATGCGACGGCAGCGACACTGTGTCACCTCCAAGACTAGGTCACAACGGCACCGCAGCTTCCTCCCGGCTCTCTGGGATCCCTCATGCTGAGCCAGCCGGCCGCCATGCTGGAAGGAAGCGCGAGCAGCTGCGTGCAGAGGCTGCGTGGGAAGGGACTGAGGCTCCCACCGGCCACACGAGCACCCAGCCGGGAAGCGGCTCCTCCAGCCCCAACCAAGCCTTCAGATGAGGCAGCCCTGGCAGGTATCTTGACCACAAGTTTTTTTTTTTAATTTCATTTTTATTTTTAATTTTTTTGAGACAGAGTCTTGCTCTGTAGCCCAGGCTGGAGTGCAGAGTCGTCATCGTAGCTCACTGTAGCCCCCGACTCCTGGGCTCCAGGGATCCTCCTGCCCCAGCCTGCCGAGTAGCTGGCACTGCAGGTGTGCGCCACCGCACCTGCCTTCACTACGACTGCTGAGACCCAAATCCAGGACCACCCAGCAAAGTGCTCCCAGACTCCTGACCCTCAGAAACTACATGAAATGACAAGTGTCTGTTATTTCAGGTTGCTAAGTTCTGGGGTGACCCCATTACACAGCAATAGATAACATCTGACCTCTAAGAAGAGCTGCCTCAACTCCCCACCTGTCAGGCCCCTGCTGTCTGCGAACTAAAGCCCCAAGGTGCCCCCGTGTCCCCAGACCGTGTCCCCAGGCTCCCTGTCGCCGCTTTCTGCTCTGAATTTGCCTGAGCCGCGCTCTCTGTGCACGCTGCTGTCCCAGTCGCAGCCACGGGAAGGCGCCCACGTGGCCAAGTCCAGCTCAGTTCCCCTCAGTCCCAGCATACAGCCCCCCTTCCCGCCCTTTATGGAACCCCCCTTGCTGCCTGCAGCAGAAGCCTGGAGCAGGTGCCTGTCGCAGGGCCCCCAGCAGCTGGAGAAGAATACGGTCCCTTGTGCCCCACGGCAGCCACGCAGGGTCCTGCCTTCAGGAGGCACTTGACGAAGCCCAGCAGCTGAGCCCTGAGCTCCCTCAGGGGACGCCTGTGTCACTGAACACCACACACATCACACGCTGGAGCCCTGGCAGCATCGGCCTCTTCCCAGTACTTTCTTCACCCCCCTCGAATCCTTCATGGAGTAGATACGATTTGACTGCGATTCTGTCACCAGGTCGTAACCAGCCCCCACCCCTCACCCTGTCCTTCCTCAACTCACCTCGTCCACAAAACCTACAAGAGGCCAAGCCCACCCGATTCCGGCGCGTGGCGGGCGAGTGGCGCACCTGTGATGCCGCCTTCTCCCAAGTGACCCGCGTCCCCTCTTCCCTCACCGCACTCTGCAGAGACAGGCGGCGGCACGGAGGAAACGCGACTCTAGACCGGGGTCCTCAGCGTCCCTGCCTCCACCCACTCCATGCCAGCAGCACCCCCGGTTGTGACAACCATAAATGTCCCCAGATGTCGCCCAGTGTCCCCTGCAGTGGCAGAATCACCCCTGGGTAAAACGCTATTTTTAACAAAATGCTATTACGAGAGATGGCTGCCCGCTGGTCTGTGAGGAAGGGCGTCCCACCTGGAAACAGCAAACAGGTGCGGGACCAGCAGGTCGGCAGGAAGCAGAGACGGCCCACGCTGGGGCCAAAGGGCACCACCCCTTGGTAACTCTGCACCCAAAGCTCGAGGTCCCTTGGGCTGGCTGCCAACGCCTAAGTTATAAAACAGAAAAGCAAGGCTCGCAGCCTCACAGGACGCTGGGAAGACCAAGACGGCCGCGAAGGAATCTAAAAGCCACAGATCACCGCCCAGACGAGAAAGGAGCTGGCCTGGTCCCGCGGTTTTGGGTTTTTCTAATGAAGCCAAAAATGAAAACCACAGCCCTGACTCACAAGGCCCCTGTGCACTGATGCACACGTGTGCGTATGCACATGCACACGTACATGCACGTGTGCACTCTTGGCACATACACTCACATGCACATGCACATGCACTCTGCACATGCGTGCATATATGCAGACACACATGGACGTGCGTGCACACACATGCACACAGGAACACATCCAGCCGTGCACAGCCGTGCAGCTTCCAGTTAACCCATGTGCGACACCCCAGCTGTGTGGAAGCCACCCGTGTCCCATGCTCCCTGGGTGACTAAGCAAGGAGCACGACCCACCGAGGCCAGGAGAGGCTGTGGTGGGAGGCAGGAGGCCAGCAGGAACCCGTGGCCGCTGGAAGCAGAGCCAAGCCCAGCTGGCCCTGGGCTTCCGGCCACCCCGAGGCTCTGGGTGGCACCCGAGCAACAGGACCCAGGTGCGTTTTCCAGATGCGCTGCCCCAGCCTTCCTTCCAAGTCGCCCTGTCTCCGGGAGCCAGCTCGGCAGCTGCCACATCCTGCCACACGGCGCCGTGGGGCTGGGACACGGCAGCCTCCACACACCACACCTAAGGTCTTCGGGTGCCTGGGTCCTGCCCGGGACCTCGTGTCCCACCCTAGGGCCTGATGGCCTGGGATCCTGGTCAGTGGAGGCCTCGCTTCCCCCCCGCCGCCCCCAGCACAGCCGGAGCTGTGACTCCATGTCTCTGCCTGACCCAGCCCGCCCGGCCTCAGCCACGCTGCCCCTAAAAGACACCTCACCTCCCAAATCCTCACCGGCCGCCCAGCCCTCAAAGCAACATGCGAGACACCAAGATGTGGCCTCACTCTGGACTGTCCACAGCATCCTGTCCCCACCCCTGCCCAGCACACCCCAGGGCCCAGGCCGCCCTGGACCCACGAGTTCCTCAAACACCCGCGCCACCCACACCTGCACGTGGAGGGCACGGCAGAGTTGTTCACAACAGGCGAAAGCAGAAGCAGCCAGAGGCCGTCCCATAGCCAGACGGCCACACAGACGGCCACGGCGTTACCAGGGAACCTGCCCGGCAGTGCGGACAGGGGGGCGCTGACTCATGCGCCACCATGATCCATCTGCAGGGACCGTCCTGACCAGGAAACCAGAGGGCTCCATCCCTGGGGGGGCTCCACTGTGAGGACTCCCGCGTGACTGCTGTCCCCGCACGAGGGTTTCTCATGCTGGAGCCCTCACCCCCAAGGCAGTGGCCTCAGGAGGGGAGTCTCTGGGGAGGTGCTGAGGTCAGGCCAGAGCCCTCGCGAAGGGCTCCCTGCCCCGTCCCACGCGAGAAACCGCGAGCAGCGCTGTCGAGGAACCAGGAAGCGGCCCTCGCCAGACACGGAGCCCGCAGCCCTGGTCGGGACTTCCGGCCTCCAGCACTGCTCACAAGCCACCGGCTGCCCTACTGTCGCGGCAGCCCAAGCTGACAACGTTTTGGAAATGGAGGGCAGACTGGTGGTGACCGGGGTCAGGGACAGGCTGGGCGCGGAGCAGCCGCCCTGCCTCGCCCGTGGTGGTGGCCGCAGGCACCTGCGCAGGCGAAGAGACCGCGCGGAGCCTCCCCCACCCCTCCCCGGAACCGCACCCAGCTCTGGGTCCACCGGGAGACACGCAGTCCACTTCCGCAGCTGTCCTGCCTCCTGCCGGGGCTGGGAGTGCGATGAGCTCAGGGCGGTGGTCGTGGGCGCTCAGCTCCACGTTAAATAGAAACCACCCCCACCGCGGCTCCCGCCCCAGCCGCGGGAACTCCGGCTGCAGGGCCCAGATGCCCGGTGTCGGGAAGCGCCCAGCACTCCCACGGCGCGGTCTCTTCTCCAGGACGACACCGCGCTGTCTCCGCTGCGGGGTGTGGTGCTCCCCGCACAACTGCGCACTGCCGTGCGGCCACCTGAGTGCGGGACTCTGACTGCCCCGCACGCCACGTCCCCAGCCCCTACCCAGGCTTGGCACACAGAAGGCACCGCAAAAACCTTTTCCAAACGGACCGGATGCCGGCTCCCTCTCGAACCCTGCGTTCCCCGTGTCCGCCAGGCCCACTTGCCCCTGTCACCAGCCCCAGCTCCTCTGAGAACAGGGCCCACGGCTCCTACCCCTGGGCAGCCCGGGTCTCAGGGAGGTCCCCACACAACCACAAGTAAGGTGCCTGGCCCCCCGAGACCACAGTGCCCACCGCAGGGCCTGGCAGGTCCAGGGGCACACGGGACAGGTGGGCTGGCGCCTGTAGGGCGAGTCTGACCGCTGCTTCTGCAGACGGACTAACTCCCAGGGAGGGGAAACGAAAGCCCCAGTAAGAATGAGAAAACCACTGTCCCCATCTCAACCAGTGGCCGAGATCTAGGAA